TGCCTCGATCGAGTCGGAATGCGTGCTTGTTTGGCGGAATTGGCGAAGGAGCAATGGGAGCATCGCTGCCATTCTTGCGCGTGCGTCTACAATGTTTTCAGATGCGGCACCATCGCATCTGCATCTTGGGGCGCGAGCGGCTTCGCAACTAGAGGAAACATATGATTGCCCGCTGACACTTTTCGGTGCTACTGTTGACTCGATCATCTTAACCACTCGCGTGCGTTTTGTGTTTGTCTCAGAATCAATGCTGGACAGTGGCCCCTCGCGGAAATCGCAGGGATTTGACAACAACTCGCCGTCGATTTCGGCTGACGCCCGGGGCCCCGCTTTCCTAGGTTACCGAGAATGTTAGGATATGCGGGGGTTGCCAGACGATTGATGCTGGCGGTCGGACTCCGGAGCTCGCGGTTTCCCTCGAGCGAGCTGGGCGAGGCCCCCCCCCCCGAAGCCGCAACGAGGCTCCGAAAAAAGGTCTTCTGAGGCCCCCGAAAGAGCTCCGAGAGGGCTCCAAGCCGACCCCCAGTGGGCCCCAGGTCAAGGTACACGGTGCATCATGCAACCGCAATGGCATGGCGGGACGTTGTTGTTGAGCACGACGCCGCGCCGTGGGGCAAACGGCAATGCATGCCACATCGAGGAAAACCTTACCCTCTTGCTTCAAGGGAGCACGCGGAAACAATACGACGTAAAAGTGTGCATGCGCATGTCGCTTGCAGGAGCCTCCTTGGGACTCTCTCGGGGTTCTCTCGGGGCATCCTCGGGGCTTCAGGACAGCCCCAGCGCGGCCCACGACGGCTCCAAGAGGGCACCGGCGTGGCCCACGCAACGGCCCAAACTCAGGTTGCACCATGCATCCTGATGCGGGCCCTCCAAACATACATGTATTTGGACCCCTTCTGATGGGTGCCCTCTGGGGCGTTCTTTGGGGCCCGCAATGGGTTCGAGGGGGCTGTGGGTGGGCCTTGGGGAGACCCCCAGGGGGGCTCCAGGAGGGCCCCGGATGGATCCCCAGATGGCCCAGAGCCAAAAAGCATTTTGAATATTGGATTTGGGCCCTCTTGGGGGGTAACTTGACTCTTAGGCTTACGCCACACCGCCGACCCCTTGTTTATGCCAATCTGGGGGTAGTAGAAGCTGCGAAGGGGTGAAAAGGCGAGTGATATTTGTTTGGTGTCTGTTCGCCGCCACCGCCAGAGGGTCTCGGGCCGTTCCGCGGGGAGGTCCGAGCGGACAGCGACACTGCGAGTTTTGGAGCCACTCGGGGGCCGTTTCGGAGCCTCTGGGGTGCTTCTTGGGGGTTCCTTGGGGCGTCTGGGCGGCCTCGTGAGGGCCTCTGGGGGCCTCTTGGGGCACTCTTGGGGCCCCCTGGGGCTCCTGGGGGCAGAAAGCTAGAGTTTCAACATGTCTGGTCGCCCTCTTGGGCCCCTCGTTGTGCCGTCTTGGAGCCCTCTTGGGCCGTCTTGGGGACCTCTTGGGCCGTGTTGGGGCCGTCTTGGGCCGTCTGGAGGCCGTCTTGGGGGCCTCTTGGGCCATCTTGGGGCTGTCTTTGGGGCCTCTTTGGCCGTCTTGGAGCGTCGGGAAGCCGAAAAGGCGGAAAAGCAAAACACATCGAAAAACACTATGGAAAATCAACAATTTTAGACTCTTGGGGCCCTCTTGGGAGGCTTGTTTGGGACCTCGGGGGCCGTCTTGGAGACCTCTTGGCCCGTCTTGGGGCCATCTTGGGCGTCTTGGAACGGTCGTTTGGCGTCTCGGGGCCTTCGTGGGCCGTCTTGGGAGCCTCTTGGGGGCTTCTTGGCCCGTCTTGAAGCCCTCTTGGGCCAGGAAAAGCCCCGTGGAGCGCTCGTCCCGGACCCCCCCCCCCCGTGAATCGCTCGTCCCGGACCCCCCCCCCCCCCCTCCAAATCGACCGGACCGGGCTCCCGGGGGAGGGGTTTGGGGAGGGGGGAGCATCTCACACGCCGATGATCCCCAAGGGGTCGGCGGATTTTGTTAAAGCCGTATTAGCGAGTTCTCGGCGACACGGGCCCCCTCCGGCTTCGGGCGGGTTTCAGGAAGTCCCGGAGAATGCCCCCACGGGGCATCAAGTGGACCCCGAGACATTCCTGAATCAGGATGCAGCGCGCGTCCTAACTTTGGATTTTCTTGGGGTCCAGGCGGGGCTCTCCCAAAGGTCCTCTTGTGGGCCTCACGGGGCCCACTTGGGGCTCCCTTGAGCCCTCAGGCAGGCTTCCAGAAATTGTTGGCGCTCCGCGTATCCCCGCCAGCCCGTCCAAAAAATCACCAGGCGACTTGCCCTGATCACCAGGAGGAGCGATGGGGGTGAAGGGATGAGCCAGGAGGGAGGGGTGATATACAATAGCAGTTGAATGCGAGAGTGGTCATGGACAGCAGTGTTCATATACGCAAGTGGTCGTGCACAAGAGGCCCTCTTGGGTATCTCTTGGGCCCCCTTGGGGCCCTCGTGGGGCTCGCTGAGGGCCGTCTTGAGGCCCTCTAGGGGCCCTCTTGGAGCATTGCCCGGGCCCTCCAGGGCCTTCCAATGCGATCCGGAGGGCTTCAAGCGGGCTCAAGACGGTTCCAAGAGAGCTTCAAAGTTTGTCCATATATTTGAAATTTCGAGGCCCTCCTGAGGCTCTCTTGGAGCCCTCTTGAGGCCCTCCGAGATTGCATTGGATGGCCTGGAGGGCCCCGAGAGGGCCCCCCCGAGGGCCCCCGACCAGGAAACCTCCGGGGGGGGGTCGTCACGGTAGCCTCCGGTTTGGGCGCCCCCTCGCCACGGAAGCCCCCGGTTTAGGTTGCGCCCGGGGCCCCCCCGAGCTCGTCGCGGAAGCCTCCGGTTTAGGCGCAAGTCGGGAAACAAGACAGACGTGCGGGGGTCCCGGGGGGGTCGTCACGGAAGCCTGCGGTTTGGGGCGCGCCCAAATGATACCCTACCGCGACGAGCTCCGGGTCCACACTTTCGAAATTTTCATTCGGGGATCCGCCCCGGGCGAGCCCCAAAAGACAGTCGCGCGGCCCCCGCAAGCCGCGCGAGTGCAGTTTGGGCCTCGCTGGGGGGCGGAGGGCAAGGTTTTGTCGCAGGTGCCGCGGGAGTCCAGGCCGGCTGGTCTTTCCCGATCTTCTCCCCGTTACTCCGCCGCCATCCTCTCCTCCTTCCTTACTCCTTCGTGTCTCTCCCTCCCTCGCCGTCCCCTCGCCACTCTTCCCTTGCTCTTCACTTTGGCCTCTCGCCATCTCCCTCTTTCCATTCTGTCCACTTCTCCGCTGTCCTCACAACATCCCCACCTTCTCTGTCTCTCCTCCTTGCCCTCTTTTCCTCCCCCCGCTTTCCTCGCTTTTCCTCGCCCCCTCCCTCCCTAGTGCCCCTTCCCTCCCATCCCTCCCCCCTCGCATTAGCTCCCCTCGCCCGCATCGCCCTTGCCCTCGTTTCTTCCTCTCCTTCCCTGCCTCCGACATTCCTTCCCTCCCCCGCTCCCCCCGTATCTCTCCTACCTCCTCTGGCTCCTCTCCCACGCCCCCCTCCCTGTGTGCGTCTTTCGCCCTGTCTCCCTTCCCCCCCTTCTCTCCCCTCCCCCCTCCCCCCTCCCTCCCCCCTCCCTCCCTTAGTTCCCTCGCCTGGCGACGCGCTGCACAATGCACTCCGCCGCGAGGGCGAGCTGGGCCAGGGGTCGGGGAGGAGGGGGGCGGAGGGGGGGGAAGTTGAGAGAGGGTGGGGAGGGGGGGGGCGAACGTGGGCGGCAGGGGAGGGAAGGATATATAAAATATGTGAACGGGATATCAGGCAGAAATGGAGGGATGGGTGTTACACGTGCGGTTTGTGCGGCATGTGCTGGCATGTTGCACCCAGGCGTACTATTGGTTCCCAGTATTTGCAACTCATTGCCTCAATATGTGCAACGTACTGTGTTGCGTCTGTGGGGATGCGTGGCCAATGCCTTGAAACGTCCGCAGTCTTCCATGGGGCGCGTGAGCCTGGTCGTGCCGCACGCGCGTACTCATGCGCCTGGCTCGGCACTGGAGCCACACTTGCCAACGCAGACATGGGCGCTCTGTGATAGAGACAAGCGTGGATCCTATGGCATGTCTGTTTGTGCACTTTCGATCGAGGCTACTGATATGTAGCGGGCACGCGTTGTCAAAACCCCTCCACCGGAGGACCGTCTCTTTGGGCCATCATTGGCTCGATTCGCCATTCCTTTCAGGCGTATGCGGACGTCAGGGTGGGTGACGTTACATTTGCTCGTCCATATACAGAAGGCGTGGTGTCCTTTTGTCAAATTCCCGAAGTAGCGAAACGATTTATTTGTAATTCTGGTGTCGTGAGTGCGCCGATCACTTTTGAGATATCGTTCAATGATTGCCAGGTATGTTGTAAGACTGTTCAAACCCTGGCGGTCGTACTTCACCGCGCGCAAAGCATGCGACTGCTTCGTTGGTATATGTTCGTTTTGGGGGTGGTTGCGTTTTTTCCTAGCCGCCCAGGTTCAGTGCGCGTTTCGGCCCACCGACATCACGTGCGCACCTTGGAGCTCTGATTCGCATTAAGAAAGAGTTGCGCTACGCAGCGCAGGGCCGAGGCATGATATTTTGAATGATAAACGCCCGTGCCAGCGCAGACGTGTCGCTCTGGCCGGCCACTGTTGGTCGCGCCATTCGAAGGCAGCGCGTGGGTTTCATGCGCCGTTGACGTTCCCCGATGACTGTCCTCGGGCCGTGCTCCTTATCTTGCGTCGTTCTTTCTGCCGGCCCGTCGTCGCGACTTCGGCCCGCGCTGGCGCTTTCGTTTATGTTCGTCCCCGAAGCGCTTGACTGGTGCAGTGGTTTCCAAAGCGTCTCGATTTAGTTGTCTCCCCGCATGCCCCTGGGACCGCGACCCAGTCTTGCGAGAGCGACGCTCTCAGGAAGGATCTCATTCGCCCCCTGTGTTTGCGCACTTCCGCTTTCTTTTTTTAAAAGGGTATGGTTTGGTAAGGGTCGGTTTGGCCGCGCCCGAGGTCGTCCGAGGGAAGTTCGGGGTCGACCAGGACTCGAAGGGCGAGTGGTTCCCGATCGAGTACGTGACCGACGAGGCGATGGCGCGCTGGCGTGACGACGAGCTAGTGGCGGCCGACAGACTCCGTTCTCCCCATGATCGCTTGGAGAACGGGCTCTTCCCTGCTGCCGGGGGCGATGCTGGTGGGACCCGCACCCCTCCGCCAGAGCCAGAGGCCGGGTCAGCCGGCCCGGGCGGGCTCCCTGCAGACTGGGCCGCCACTTACGAGAAGGAGGACCTCCGCACATGCTGGATCGACGCAGACGAGACTGGCGCCAGGTTCAAGGAGTGGAGGAAAGTCGTGCAAGAGAGCACGCAGGAGGTCTTTTCGGACTCGAACATTCGTGGGCCTCCTGTTTGCCTTGAGATCTGCCGCAAGATGTATCGTCGCGGTGGCGCGCCGAAGATGTGGTTCCAGGAGTGGTGCAAGGAGCAGGGCGTGACCAGGAAGGATCGCGCCTACCACGAGGTGCAGACCTTGATCGAGGTCCTGTACCTCGCCGGGACGCACGACCAGCTCAACATGGGCGCGCTGGCGTCCCTGGAGGTGGTCTCGAGGCGGCTGCTGCAGTACGTGGAGGCCTACGCGCACGGGGCCGACCAGGCGAACTGGGGCGCGGCGAAGTACCTGGGCGGCACGACCAACCCGCTCGACTTGGCGCCCGACGCGCTCCACAGCTACGTCAGTCGCCTGTCGAAGGAGGAGCACGAGCTGGTGGCGTTGCGGACGCTGTCCCGCGTCCCTGGGGCTGCCCCGGCCGACGGCGCGGCCGCGGCCGCTTCTGCCTTCGCCGCGGGCGGGCTGCCTGCCGCCGGGGCCGCCGCCGGCGCCGCGACTGGCGCTGAGGGAGCTGATGCTGGCGGTCGAGGCCGCGGTCGAGGCGGGCGGGGCCGCGGCCGCCGCCCGGCGGGCACATGGCGACCGAGGCCGAGGGGGGCGGGTGCCCGACCGTCTCCTGCAGAACGAAGGCCAGCTCGGGGCTTCGTGGGTCGTCTTTCCTGCCATAGCCCCGCTGGCGGCGCTCCCCGATGACTGGTGCGAGGGCCTGGCGCCTGGTCAGCGACGTCGCTGGCTGCGAGATGGCAATGCAGCCTGCAAGAGCATGAATTACTTGCATTACGGCGAGCATCGCGGTGGCATGGCGCATGAGGGAAGCGCAAGCCAGCGTAAGATGGATCTCATCAGGGCCGATGCGCAGCAGCGCGCGTTGTCGGCGGCTCGCCGTTGGATTGACGTTGACAGCGCCATCGCTGAGAAGGAGGCCTTGGCCAGGCTTCTGAAGGGCAAGGCGGGCTACGCTCCTCTTGGCGCTACCAACATGGGCTCCCACGAGCGCTCGCGGGTCAGCTTGCCGGACAGCGTCCTCGACGCTCCTGCTCTGGCCCAGATGCTACCCGCGGACGCGAGGATTTTTCTCGAGGGGTACTCCACCAAGATGCTGCTTCCCCCTCGTGAGGCGGCGTTCATGCGAGAGCTGCGCGGATTTCCGGGATGTCATACTGACCCCCTGCTGCTCCAACGCCCTCGGAGCGTCCATGGGGCTCGTGACTTTGACCCGGCGGCCTCTGAGCGTTATTGGATTGCTTTTGGTGGAAAAAGAAGGATTGTGAGCGCCTGCGCCTCATCGTGGACTGCAGACGAAGAATGCCCCGTTTCGCCCCCCGCCTGGCGTTGACTTGCTGTCAGGCGAAGGGCTTGGCCGCATCGAGGTGCCAGCGCTCAGGGGGGGGGACCTCAGCGAGCTGCGCGTCGTCTTGGGGGTCGGCGACGTCGCCGACTGCTTCCACCGGATGAAGATGCAGGGCGACATCCGGCGCTACCCGCCGCTGGCGGCCCCGGCTACTGGCGAGGCCCTCATCGAGGGCCAGGCGGCTGCCGACTGCGAGATGGTCTGGCCCATGAGCCAGAGCCTGCCGATGGGCTTCTCTCGGTCGCTCTTCTTCGCGCAGGCAGCCAACCAATCGCGATTTGACCGACAACCCTCGTCGGCGAAGAGCCTGCGGCTTAGCGACAGGGGGGCCGCCTCTTGCCCTCCGCCGCGGGCCGGGTGATCAGGACCTCGGCCACTTCATGTGCGTCGACATCGCCGGCGTCCTTGTTCGCTCGGCCCTCTACGAGGCTCAGGCCGACTTCGATGGGGCCACCTCAGGCTCCATGAGGTCGGCCTTCACGCTGGGGGCGGCCGCTCACTTGGTTGCCACCTGGATGGAGAGAGGCTCTGCGCGCGGCCGACGGACGAGAGGTTCGCTGCCGTGCGGAAGGGCCTCCGCTGCCTCCTCAGGCAGCGCAATGTTGCTGGCTGGCAGCTCGAGATGGCGCTGGGCCACGTGACTTTCATGGCCCTTGGTCGGCGCGAGGTACTGTCAGTTTTTCACGCAGTATACGCCCTCGTGGCAAGCAGCTACCACGCGTTTTCAGTCCTATGGCCTATCGTTCGAGAGGAGCTGGAGTGCTACTTGGGGCTGATGGTGATGCTCGAGTCCCGCTGGAACCGCGACTGGATGCCGTTCGTTTGCTCGTCGGATGCCAGCCTCTACGGGCACGGCGTCGCTGAGGCGCAGTTCGACTCTGCCCAGGTGGCCCTCGTCGGCCGCGTCTCGGAGCTGAGTCGGTGGCGCCTGGGCGCTGGTCTGGCTCGTCAGCATGCTTTTGAGACTGGGTCTCTGCTGAACTCAAGAATGGGCGAGGTTGTCCGCGACGCCGAGGGGGTGCCGAGGCGGCTCGACTCCGAGCTGCTGGACATCCTCAACAGCGAGCGCTGGAAGTGCGACCCCGGCTTCCCCGAGCTTCCTCATGAGCTGCTTCGCGACTCTCATTGGAAGACCGTGATGGCGGATCGCTGGGTGTTTGCCGACGATATCCTGAGGCTTGAGGCCAGAGCACTGGTGAAGGCTGCCTCTCGCGCGGCCCACTCTCAGCCAGTCAAAGACTGCCGCGTCCTTCTGCTGTGGGACAATCTCTCAGTAGTGCTCTGCTTTTGTCGCTTCAGGTTCAGGGATTTTCGGCTGCTAATTCAGGTCCGACGTTTCGCTGCGCTCTGTCTGGCGAGAAACATCAGATTTGTTGTTCGTTGGATTCCAAGTGAGTCTAACTCTGGTGAAGGCAGTCGGAAGTTTGATCCAGAATATGACAGCACCAAGACCCTCGTATCCCATTTAGGCTCAAACCAGGCTTCGGTTCCGCTGCCCTCTGACTCCTCGCGGCAGAGCGATGGAGGGGGCCCCGCCAGCCTCTCCGAGCCGCCAGCGGACGCTGCAGCGCAGCTTTTCGCCCCCGCAGGCGCCGGTCGCGGGCTTCCCTCGAGAGGCGGCAGCGAGTGTGTCTCGCAGGGTTCGCACCCTGAGCCCCGGGGAGGGCCCGAGCGGCCCTCGACATCCCTGAGGGGCCTGCGATGTGCTAAATGTTCGCCACTTTCGAGGGCTGCTTAGGGGGCAGCATACTGGGTGGTAGCCGCCGCAGATTCAAATTCGACCTCGCCATCCCTTGGGGGCTGCAATTTGCGAAGCTATCGCCACTTTCGAGGGCTACTGGGGGGGGGCGGCATAAGGGGGTAGCCGCCGCAAACCCGCATTCGACCTCGCCATCCCTGGGGGGGCTGCGATTTGCGAACATGTCGCCACTTTCGAAGGCTGCTGATGGGTAGCCGCCGCTGATCCAAATTCGACCTCGCCATCCCTGGGGTGCTGCGATTTGCAAGCTGTCGCCGCTTTGGAGCGCTGCCTGGGGGACCAGAGCCGCCGCGGACCCAACTTAGACCTCGCCCTCACTGGCGGGCTGCGATTTGCGAAGCTGTCGCCACTTTCGAAGGCTGCTTGGGGGGCCAGCATAGTGGGTGGTAGCCGCCGCAGATCCAAATTGGACTCGCCATCCCTGGAGGGGGGGGGCTGCGATTTGCGAGACCGCCGCCACTTTCGAAGGCTGGGGCGGCCACTTCGTGAGACGGCCGCCATGCCTGGGGGGGTGTGTGGGGGGGGCATAGTGTGCAGCCGCCGCAGATCCGAAGCAGACGTCGTTTCCTGGAGGCGGGGGGGGGCTTCGATTTGCGAGCCCGTCGCAACTTTCGGGGGCTGTTTGGGGGGGGGGGGGGGCGCAGTGGGTGGTAGCCGCCGCAGACCCACATTCAACCTCGCCATCCCTGGGGGGCTGCGATTTGCGAAATTGTCGCAACTTTCGAAGGCTGCTTGGGGGGCCAGCGTAGCGGGTAGCCGCCGCATATCCAAATTTGACCTCGCCATCCTTGGGGGGGGGGGGAGATTTGCGAAGATGTCGTCGCTTTCGAGGGCTGCTTCGGGGGCCAGCATAGTGGATAGCTGCCGCAGGTCCAAAGTAGACCTCGCCATCCCTGTGGGGGGGGGCTGCGATTTGCGAAACTGTCGCCGCTTTCGAGGGCTGTTTGAGGGGCCAGTTGTAGTAGGTAGCCGCCGCAGATCCAAATTAGACCTCGTCATGCCTGGAGGGCTGCGACTTGCGAAACTGTCGCCGCGTTCGAGGGCTGCTTGGGGGGCCAGTCTAGCGATCTGCGAAGCTCGGATTCTCGAACATGGGCGTTTCGCCTCAGATATCCTTCAACAAATGATATGCCGAAAGAGCTCTTGTAAGGCATCTTTTCGGAGCGATCTCGGATGATCTCCAAGATGCCCAAGAAGCGTAATTATTGAAGAACCCATAGGTTGTTCAATACTTGTGTTGAACAATGAGCGTTTCGCTCGAGACATCCTCCAACAATTGCCTTCGGACGGGTCCTCGAAGGCGAAATTATTGAACATCCTATGAGTTTTCAACAGTTTTGTTGAACACAGAACGTTTCGATCGAGAAATTCTCCAAACATTGCCTTCGGATGGGTCCTCGATACCATCAGGTGTCCTTCTCCTCTTCCTCCTCCTGTCAGCGCCACGTCTGAACTCGCGCGGGTAGTGAACTCCACCTGGTATCTTTTGGTCGTTTGTCTCCAGACGACCTGTGGTATATTTGTCGTCATCGTCGTCGTCATCGTCGTCGTGTGGTAACGGTTCCGTTCAAAGGGTGACGCCAGTTCAAAACGCCACGCCGTAGAGAAGACGTTCGTAGCATATTCAGGAGCAGGATTGTCAACGTTCGGGAAGCGCGCGTCCATAGGTATCCCCTGTGGACGTTCGGGGAGTTCGCCCACATTACGGTTAATCGTGCTGATGCTGCACGTTTTTGCACAGATCTTCTCTCTTACGCGCTTCCCGTTCATGTCAGGAAAGGTTTGGAAAAAGGATCGTTTCGCTCGAGACATCCTCACACAATGGGGATCTTGGGGGTTCTCGTTGAAGACGGTTGATGTCAAAAATTACGATTTCGCTTGAGACATCCTCCCGCAATGGAGATTTTGAAATTGCTCGCCTAAGTGTCGGATCCTCGATCGTGGGCGTTTTCACCTGAGACATCCTCGAAAAAATAGGATGCTGAAATAGCTCTTGTCAGGCATCTTCTCGGAGCGATCTCGGATGACCTCCGAGATAGCCCAAGAAGCGAAATTATTGAAAAACACACCGGTGTTTAACAGTTCTGTTAAACAATGAGCGTTTCGTTCGAGACATCCTCTAACAATTGCCTTCGGACGGGTCCTCGAAGGCGAAATTATTGAACAACCTGTGGGTTTTCAACAGTTTTGATAAAAACATAGCGTTTCGCTTGAGACATCCTCCAAGAGTTGCATTCGGACGGGTCCTCGATACCATCAGGTTTCCTCCTCCTCTTCCTCCTTCTTCTCCTGTCAGCGCCACGTCTGAACTCGCGCGGGTAGTGAACTCCACCTGGTATCTTTTGTGGTCGTTTGTCTCCAGCCGAATTGTGGTATATTTGTCGTCATCGTCGTCGTCATCGTCGTCGCCGTCGTCGTATGGTAACGGTTCGGTTCAAAGGGTGACGCCAGTTCAAAACGCCACGCCGTAGAGAAGACGTTTGTAGGATGCTCAGGAACAGGGTTGTCAACGTTCGGGAAGCGCGCGTCCATAGATATCCCTTGTGGACATTCGGGGAGTTCGCCTACATTACGGTTAATCGTGCTGATGCTGCACGTTTTTGCACAGATCTTTAATTTTACGCGCTTCCCGTTCATGTCAGGAAAGGTTTGAACAAGGATCGTTTCGCTCGAGACATCCTCTCACAATCGGGATCGTGGGGGTTCTCGTTTAAGACGGTTGATGTCAAAAGTGACGATTTAGCTTGAGACATCCTCCCAACATTCAGATCTTGAAACTGGTCGCCTAATTTTCGGATCCTCGACCATGGGCGTTTCACCTGAGACATCCTCGAAACAATAGGATGCTGAAATAGCTCTTGTAAGGCATCTTTTCGGAGCGATCTCGGATGACCTCCAAGATGGCCCAAGAAACGAAACGATTGAAAAACCAATGGTTTTTAACAGTTCTGTTAAACAGTGAGCGATTCGCTCGAGACATCCTCCAAACACTGCCTTCGGAGGGTTCCTCGAAGGCGAAATGATTGAAACACCTAGGGGCTTTCAACAGTTTTGTTAAGTACAGAACGTTTCGCTCGAGACATCCTCCAAACATTGCCTTCGGACGGGTCCTCGATACTATCAGGTTTCCTCCTCTTCCTCCTTCTTGTCCTGCCAGCGCCACGTCTGAACTCGCGCGGGTAGTGAACTCCACCTGGTATCTTCTGTGGGTGTTTGTCTCCAGACGACCTGTGGCATATTTATCTCCATCATCGTTGTCATCGTCGTCGTCATCGTCGTCGTCGTCAACGTCGTCGCCGTCGTCATATGGTAACGGTTCGGTTCAATGGGCGATGCCGGTTCAAAATGCCACGCCGTAGAGAAGACGTTTGTAGGATATTCAGGAACAGTGTTGTCAACGTTCGGGGAGCGCGCGTGCACAGGTATCCCCAGTGGACATTCGGGGAGTTCGCCCACATTACGGTTCATCGTGCTGATGCTGCACGTTTTTGCACAGATCTTCAATTTTACGCGCTTCCCGTTCATGTCAGGAAAGGTTTGAAAAAGGAACGTTTCGCTCGAGACATCCTCACACAATCGGGATCTTGGGGGTTCTCGTTTAAGACGGTTGATGTCAAAAATGACGATTTCGCCTGAGACATCCTCCAAACATGGAGATCTTGAAACTGCTCGCCTCATGTCGGGATCCTCGAAACTGGGCGTTTCAGGCGAGACATCCTCGAAATTATCCCAGTGCGACCCTACCTAGGAGTTTGAACCCCTAGGAAAGCAGCATTAGTAGTAACAGTAACGCTAAGCTAAAGCCAAGCGAAAGCTAAGCTAAAGCTAAGCCACAGCTAAGCTACAGCTAAGCTAAAGCTAAAGCTAAGCTAAAGCTAAGCTAAAGCTAAGCTAAAGCTAAGCTAAATCTGAGCAACAGCTAAGCTAAAGCTAAGCTACAGCTAAGCTAAAGCTAAGCTAAAGCTAAGCTAAAGCTAAGCTAAAGCGAAGCTAACGCTAAGCTACAGCTAAGCTACAGCTAAGCTAAAGCTAAGCTAAAGCTAAGCTAAAGCCAAGCTAAAGCTAAGCTAAACGCTAAGCGAAACGCTAAGCGAAACGCTAAGCTAAAGCTAAGCTACAGCTAAGCTACAGCTAAGCTAAAGCTAAAGCTAAAGCTAAAGCTAAAGCTAAAGCTCCCAGGGGACGGGGGAACCGCTCCCTGGGGACCGGGGGAACCGCCCGGGGCGTGTAGCATTGCCCGGCCCCTTTAAGCTAAGAGAGTAAGAGCCCTTCTAGGCAGAGCCTAGGTAGGGAACAATAGGATGCCGAAAGAGCTCTTGTAAGGCATCTATTCGGATAGCATGCGAGTGCGTACCCATTTTCTCTAACCTTAAGTCGGGCCTGTCCCTCTACAGAGGAAATATTCAAAAATAGTATAATAATAGTTTGGGTCGTTTTTTTAGTTGTTTGAAAATGTTTGGAGTATGTTTGGGGTATTTCTAATTGTTCGTCCAAAATCCGCCTGTAGGGGGACATGCCCGACCTAACTCTAACCCGGAGAGGTGATCAACCAGGAGTACGGCCTCCCGGCAGACATGTGGGGCGTGGGCGTGGTTGCGTACCAGATGCTGAGCGGGGAGGTGGGGCCATGCAGGGGGGGGTGGAAACGGCTTTGAGGAGGCAGTTCAGCCACGCGCAGAGGGGGGTGCTGGGGGAGGGGGGAGGGTTTCTTAGAAGTACCCCTGCTTCTTAGTAGGCGCGGGCCTTATCTATAGATATAAGGCCGGCGCCTTCTAAGAAGCAGCCTCCTTCTAAGAAGCCTTCCCCCTCCCTCCACCCCCTGGTGCCCGCCGCCGCCAAGTAGTTGGTGGGAGGGAGGAGGTGAATCGGCTGGTGGAGAAGAACAGCAGCAAGGGGGCGGGGTTGCTGTCACCAGCGGTCTGTCTCTTTTCAAGTTCGCGCGTGCGTCCACCAGCCCTCCGTGATGGAAGTGCCCGAAGGTCACGCCTTCTAGTCAGGAGCCGTCTGCTTCAAAGCGCGCCTTCCTCATAACTAATACTTTACCACGTACTTGCGCAAGCATGTCCCCATTCCCATTCTCCAAAGCATTTTGTGGACCTCTGGCGACTCCAGAGACGCAATCCTAGCATCCAGGAATCATCGGACATCCCGGACGGCCGATGGGTCCGCGACGTGTGGAACTTGTGTGTTTCGTAAAGCTGGAACGGCTCAAGTTGTGAGTGCACTGAGCAGGGGCTTGCCGTCCAAGGGGAAGTACGGGTAAGGAGGAAGAGAAAGCAGGTGCAGAAGAGAAGACGAGGAGGAGGAGGAGGAGGAGGAGGAGGAGGAGGAGGAGGAGGAGGAGGGAGGAGGAGGAGGAGTGGGAGGAGGAGGACTTGAGGACGGAGGTGTGCAATGCTGTCCTGGCGCGGCCTACCTCGTCTGTGTGCCGCTTGCTCCACTGGGGGTCCGAAAAGCTGGTCAGCGTCCAGCTGCCCCGCCGCTGCGGCCGCCGAGGGGGCAACGGCCTGAGCAGCAAAGGAGGTCCCCTCGCAGTTGGGTCCCGGAGTCGGAGTCGAGAGATCGAAAGAGCTCGGGGTCGGCCTGCTGCCCGGAGAGAGCCCCGAGCCCCACGAGTTGGGGACAGGGAGGAGGAGCAAGAGGGGGAGGAGGAGGAGGAGGAGGAGGAGGAGGAGGAGGAGGAGGAGGAGGAGCAGGCGTTTCGATGGAGGCGTAACAGCTTGTGCGCTCAACACAACATGGGACAGCCCAACGTAGGTTTAAGTCGGGCATGTCCCTCTACAGACGGAATATTCCCAAATGGTCAAACAATAGTTTGGGGACGGGTTCTTTCATTTTTTCCCGGAAAGGGCGCGGGCCCAGGGTTCTCTTTTAGTAGGTAAACCTGTCCCCCGGTGCCTGCTTGAGGGAGGCCGGCGAATTTTTTCCCTGATAAATAACGAGGTCGAAGGAGGCCGGCGAATTAAAATTTGAGGATGTCTCGAGCGAAACGCTTGTTTTTCAGAATTGATGATGTCTCGAGCGAAACGCTTTTTGCAGAGTTGAGGATGTCTCGAGCGAAACGCTTGCTCCGCAGAGTTTGCCGAGGATGTCTCGAGCGAAACGCTTGTTTTGCAGAGCCGACCGCGACGCGGAAAAGCGCCCCGCGCGAAGGAATTTCGATGATGTCTCGACTAATTCCTTTGTTTTTGTACGATTTCCTGGAATTTTGGCAGGATGTCTCGAGCGAAATGCACGACCCCACCCTAGCACGACCATACCCCAGCACGACCACACCCCAGCACGACCAGACCCCAGCACGACCCCACCCCAGCACGACCCCACCCCAGCACGACCATACCCCAGCACGACCACACCCCAGCACGACCCGACCCCAGCACGACCCTACCCCAGCAAGACCACACCCCAGCACGACCACACCCCAGCACGACCTCACCACAGCACGACCACACCCCAGCACGACCACGCCCCAGCACGACCACGCCCCAGCACGACCACGCCCCAGCACACGACCACCCCCCAGCACGACCACCCCCAGCACGACCACACCCCAGCACGACCACACCCCAGCACGACCACTCCCCAGCACGACCACACCCCAGCACGACCACACCCCAGCACGACCACACCCCAGCACGACCCGATCGATAAATCACAGGGTGCGGAGCACCCCAGCACGAACCCACCCCAGCACGACCCCACCCCAGCACGACCCCACCCCAGCACGACCACGCCCCACGACCACACCCCAGCACGAGCACGACCACTCCCCAGCACGACCCCACCCCAGCACGACCCCACCCTAGCACGACCACACCCCAGCACGACCACACCCCAGCACGACCCCACCCCAGCACGATCACACCCCAGCACGACCCCACCCCAGCAAGACCACACCCCAGCACGACCGCACCCCAGCACGACCTTACCACAGCACGACCACACCCCAGCACGACCACGCCCCAGCACGACCACGCCCCAGCACGACCACGCCCCAGCACGACCACGCCCCAGCACGACCACCCCCAGCACGACCACCCCCAGCACGACCACCCCCCCAGCACGACCACCCCCCAGCACGACCACCCCCCAGCACGACCACACCCCAGCACGACCACTCCCCAGCACGACCACACCGCCTTGGTTGAGTGGTTGCCTGTCGTCGTGGAATGTTTCGTGGGGTGTCTCGTGGAATGTTTCGCGGGGTGTCTCGTGAAATGTTTCGTGAGGTGTCTCGTGGAATGTTTCGTGAGGTGTCTCGTGGGCTGTTTCGTGAGGTGTCTCGTGGGATGTTTCGTGAGGTGTTGCCCAGTTGGGTATCATGAAAACGTGTCCATGCTCCACATGTCTATATCCCTTTCCGGGTTCGTGGGTCCATCATGTTTGAGCATTTATGATGTATGGTTTGACTCGTTTTGATGTGTCGCCCCAAATCCGCCTGTAGGGGGACACGCCCGACCTGAGCCTACGTCGTGGTAGCCGCCACGCGGCGGCTCTGTAACGCTCTGACTGGTACGCATCGCGTGTTGGTAACGCTTTTCATCCCATGGGCATTCAGGAGGTCTTTGTTTGCTTGCTTAGATCGTGCAGCCTCTACCGCAGTGGTGTATCGTTGGCGACTAAGTGTCGACAATTACATGGTGAGCCAACTGATTAGTGTGACGCGAAGCAGACAATCCACAGTACCTAGGGCAGGTTCCATTCCAAGACCCCGACAGCGACGTCCCGTACCCCTTCTTCATGCCGGAGAGTGGTGGGCCCATGTTCTCCGCCATATTAAACCAGCCAGTTGAGTTGACAGGAGGACCAACCACTGCGCTCTCATCGCTTGGGATAATCAGTGAGATTGGATCTTAGTCGGAGACGCTTACCGCCGCCCCCCTACCTTTTGGAAATGCCCATGTGGCAAAATGTTGGGCCGAAGCCTGGGCAAGCTATTGGACTATGTGCTCCCACAGCCGTTGTGCAAACCCTTGGGGGCAACTTTAGGAGACGAAGAGGAATTGGGAGGAGAGGGAGGAGGAGGAGGAAGAAGAAGATGAGGCCTCTTGAAGCTCCTTTGGGGCACCCTGGGCTTGTTGGGAGCCTCTGAGGGGCCTCTTGGGAGCTTCCTGTGCCTCTTGGAGGCCTCCCGGGGCCTCTTGGGGCCTTCTGGGGGCCTCGAAGGGACCTCTTGGCCTTCGGAGGCCGTCTCGGAGCACTCTCTGGGCAGTCGTGGGTCCCTTTTGGGACTCCTTATGGTCGTCTTGGAGATCTATGGAGCCGTAGATTGGGCTCGTGGGCAGTCTTGCGAGCCTCTTGGGAGCCTCCCGGGCCGTCTCACGGCAATCTTGGTGGCCTATGGGGCGTCTTGGAGCGTCGGAGGCCGGAATAGGTTTTTAAAGTCATTGGAACACCCAAGGAACATCAATGATTTCGGTTTCCTGGAAGTTCTCTTGGGGCCCTCTTGGGGCCGTCTTGGCCGTCCTGGGTGCCATCTTGGAGGCCATCCTTGGGGGGGAGACCAGTGGAAGATGGTTTTCGGCAGCTTTCCGGGTGACCGACGCGATCGGCGGAAACCTCGTTGGGAACCCTCAAACATGGTTCAAACCAACCTGAAGTTTGGGACGCCGTGCACCTGTGGCGAGCACAGGAGTCGGCGGAACAAGCTGCCTTCGGCCCATTTCGCCACCGTGCCTGCGACCTTGTGAGCCCTCCCGGAAGCCTAGTGGATGTGGTATTGAATGTTTTCGGGACGGCCTGACTATGGCCTCTTGGGGGCCTCCTGGAGCTTCTGGGGGCCTCTTGGGGGCCTGCTGGCGGTCGCGCGGCTCTCTTGAGGCCCTCCTGGTGCCCTCTTGGATCCCCTTGCAGGGCCGTGATGGGAGCCTCTTGGGCCGTCCGAGGGGCCCTCTTGTGGGTCTCTTGAGCAAGCTTATGGCGATCTCGTAGGTTATCGTGGGCATCTTGGTGCGATCTTCGGGCGTCGCAGAGGACCTTCGTGGACCGTCTTCGGGCCCTCTTCGGGCCCTCTTGGCCCGTCTGGGGGTCTTCTTGCCTCCAAATTTTAGCGATGACGTGTGACAAGCCCCGAGAGCGCCCTGTCGCGCCTGAGACTCGGGGCTTTGGGCTCCTTTAGAGAAGGTTTACAGTGCTCAATACAGTGAGCTCGAAGGGACCTGATGATTCGAGGCACGGCGGCGAATCTGTGAGCCACTCCTTCTGGGACGGGCTGAGCTACGTCTTTTTCATTAGTTGAGCCGCCCAATTTAGTTTTGACATGTGATGATCCTGACCTTTGCTGGTGTTCGATTCGCTTTCCCATCAGTTCCAACGGCGCGTACAATATTTCCAGTCGAGTTGTTCAGGTGGTGAATCAAATCCCGTTAAGCTCCAGCCCGCTCGATTCATTTTCTTGGAGCGAGCAGTGTTTGTTGATCACAGTTTCAACACTCACCATCCAAGGGTGCTGTTTGACAGGCTGGCGGGGCCTTGGGCATGGAACTGAAACGGCATGACCACCTCTTCTGAGCTGGACGGCCGTTGCTTGTTGGTGCTCATGTGTGCATGTATGTGTTACGTATGTCGATATATGCGGTCTGCGCGTGGGGGGGGGTCAGGTCCGACACTGGGGTAAGGCAGTCTGTGACAGTTGCGGCGCATGGTAGAAGTGGTGGAAGCCTTTTGCAGAGAGAGAGAGAGAGGGAGAAAGAGAGAGAGAGAGGCAGGAGGCTCACCATTTGTAGACGCAGCTGTGCTCAAAATAAGTGTGTAGATGGTGTGTGTGTGTGTGTGTGTCTGTGTGTGTGTGTTTAAAAACATGTTCGCATGTTCGTTTGGGAAAACACGTCGAGAGAGGTGTAGTGTTTGCGGGTGTCCGCATCAACTGTCATTACCATGTCAGCGTAGCCCTCTGTGTGGCGAGATTTCGAATTATCCGCCCAGACGAACGCAGCATGGGACGGCTCTCGCCCCAAGGATTTTAGAGTGCCCTGCACGTGTGGCGCGCTCGTCCACAGGCTCGAGGGAGCCCAAGTCTGTGGTTCCACCTAGCCGCAACATGATTTTGCTATCGTCCTCGGGTACCAGGGAGCCATGGCATGTAGCGGCTCGCGTACCCAATAGAGGGAGTGCCGTCGCAGGTGAGTCGTGATCTTCCTCCTTGGGGGCCGTACCATGTAACATCGTGTTGTGGGCTTCTCGGGATTATGCTGGAAGGATCTTTTGTAGCTCAGGGGTTTCTTGGGGTTTCCAGGGAGCCTGATTGGGGTCTGGGATCGTCCTGCGGTCGTCTAGAGAGTATTGGTGCATTCGAGCACGGTCCGCCTAGCGTGCGTTCTGTGCCCGCTTAGGGCCGCCTTGGGCCGTCTATGGGGTCGCTTGAGGCCCCATGGGTGCTGCTTGAGGGGATAATTGGGTGCATCTTCGAGCATCCTGATTGTGGCGAAGACGGGTGTCAGTCAGGACTCAGTGTACCAAGTTTAGGTGTTTCGCGTTGTTGTCTTGCCAGGGGTCTTCTGAAGCTCCTCTCGGACACCCACTGCAGCCTCTAGATGCACTCTGGGGGCCTCGTTGGCGCATCTCGGGTTTCTCCCGGGTCGTCTGAGCATGTCGTAGGGTCGTCCGTTGTGCAGTTTCGGGCCTTCTTGTGAGAGCTTCTCGGGCGCGTCTTTGGGCAGTCGAGGGCTTGGAAAAAGGGCGGCAGGGGCGGCGCAAGCGAATGGATGCGGCAGGCCAGGGAGACATCAGAGTACCTCTTGAAAAGCAGCCACGCAGCATAGGCAACACAGCACGCCCGAGCGCGCAAATGGACACAGTTGCGGATATACTCAGTCATTGGATAAGCAATGGGGATAAGGGATGAGGATGCGTGGGTAGGATGCGGTAGGATAGTGTGATTGGTTGGCATAGTCGGATGTCTACGGGTCCACCGAGCTCCAGACAGTATTGTTGGTGCTGAGGAGCGTGGGACAGCGTGTCAGACGATGCCAAGGACTCTTCTCTGGCTCCCGTTTGATTCTCCTGCGCGCTTCGCATAACCTCTATTGTTTCCTGTGCCTATACATGTCTACCGTTCTTCCGCACATCTCGCGATTTCATTGTTGCCTGGATCTATGTGCATGTCATTGCTGCTGCCCTTGAGAGTGTCAACCAATGCGCGTTCTTATCATTATGTATTAGGTCTATTGGCCATTCGCGTACTCCCCCCCAGCCCATCTGGAAACTATGCCCAGGCGAGTTACCCTGATCACGGAAGTATAGGAACATGAAGTGGAACAAAGAGCGGGGGGCGCCGTCATCCTTCGAAGAAGGACGGAGCTGGAGGAGGCGTGAGGAGGAAGTCGAGGAGGAGGATGGAGGAGGAGGAGGAGGAGGAGGAGGAGGAGGAGGACGAGGCGGAGGAGGATGAAGGCGAACGGAGGGTAGAGGACATTTACAGAACATGCCCCCCTTCAATTTCAGATGAGACCTTAGTTGGCGGATGATGATGGGTAGGAATGGAGGGAGGAAGAGAAGGAGGACGCGAAAGAGGGCGATGAGGAGGAGGAGGATGAGGCCAGATGATGAGGAGGAGAACGAAGAGGGACTCACATCTCGCATCAGGTGCCCTGTGGGACGGGACCACGGGCACGGGAGGCACCTTTGCAGATGTGGGTTGCTTAGTTTAGTTGTTCGGTTTCGGCGTGTCCATTGTTGGGATCTCGCGTTGCAGTTCTTGAAGTGCCCGGAGAAAGAAGAGGTTGGGATTGGGGGAGGGAGGCGGCGACGACGGCAGGAATCAACCATGAAGGCCTTCGCAAGTCTTTCGCTCCGGGAAGAAGGGACATTGGAAGAAAGAACAACATGAACACGTCAAGCCGCTTACGCCTAGAGGGCTGGTGGGATTCGGCGCCGCGCGGACCTGCAGCTGCCCAGGGAGTCTGCTCGACGCAGACTTCGCTGCCGTCGGACCCACCGCCGCGCTGCATTGATCCGCGCGCGGCCGCCATTCTTGCTGCAGCTGCACGCAGTCACGCATCTCTTGGGTCAGTGGATCCTGGCCGCGTGTTTGTACCTCGGGGCTGGACAGAACCCCCAATAGTGACACGTCGATTAGTGAATTGTCCGTTTTCGGCTTTCGAGAGGGCGCCGTGGCCGTTATTTTCCAGGCTTGCGCCCGCCGGGTTTGGGCCCGAGGTCGTTTTCACTAAACCACGTTTTGCTAAAGGGGGTTCTGTCCATCCCCGAGTACCACCGTTGTTGGATGTGTGCTTTCTGCATCTCAGTCAGAGAGAGAGAGAGAGAGAGAGACGGAAGCACTACTGCTGCCAGTGTCTGACCGCGCCGTTGCAGCCACTGCTGTCGCCTCGCGAGCGCGGTTGGCGCTTTGCCCAACGCTTACATGCTGAATTCGGCGCGCTGTTTTTGCGACGGGTGCAACCCAGGGCAGTGGCCGCTGCTCGGCTCTGAAAGTACCGGCTGTAATTTTACGTCGGGCGTGTCCCTCTACGCCGGCTGCAGGGGTACACGCCCGACCTAACTGTAATTCCCTGGGCTGCGTCGTTGTCAGTAGACGCCGCGCGCAAATCGTTGCACTCTTCAATGCGATCACGTGTCTCTGCCGCCCACCTCGTCACCCGTGCAGCTCCGACTCCACCGCCCCCGCCGCCACGGACGTCGCAGCGCGATCCAGCAGGAGGCTTGCGGAGGCGATTGTGAGGTCCGGGGCAGACCCTCCTCCTCCTCCGCCTCCTCCTCCTCCTCCTCCTCCTCCTCCTCCCCCTCCTCCTCCCCTGAGCTTCCACAAGAGCTAAAAAATAGGGTGCGACTTATTCCCATTCCAGACTTATTTGTTTAACATACAAACGCTATAGACTTATCCGCGTATGTTATTTTTAGGTTTATAGACCTATCGACTTATCCCAAGACTTATTGAAATATGTTATTTTTAAGTCTATAGACTTAGCCTCATATGTTATTTTTAGGTTTATAGACTTATCCTCAAAACCTATTTTTAGGTTATAGGTTCCAAGTGTTATTTTTAAGTCTCTCGTTTAGGTCTCAGGTATCTCTTTTAGGTCTTGGAGTCTTGTTATGTGTGGAAATGCACTGTGCATGTACTCACGCACGTCATGTGTTGGGGTATGCTCTCAAAGGTGGCGTGGGCACGCATGATCGCACACGCAATCGCACTGTCATTTTTACTTCCCTTCTCAGAGTCAGAATCTGAATCAGAGGCGGAATAACACTGCGAGCAACACATCTATGTAGAACAAAAGCAGGCTCTACCGCAAATGAGTTTCTACGACGACGCACCTCTGTAGCACAGTAAACGCCATCTTCGCCATGTGGGCAGCTTGTGCAATCTGCGCTACTTCCCCGTTTTCGCTCTCGTCTTCGTGAGTGCTATAATACGCTGCATTTCCATGCAACGACATCGCGTGAACCATGTGCACCATCCCATGGTGTTTATACACCATCTTGCCCCCAGCTAGCTTGTAGCACGTGTTGAACCGAATGGCGTGGGTCATCAACTGGTTGCGAACCTCTGGAGCTTGCACGTGCGACTAGCCCGTGGACCCGCCCCGACCACCGAGGGGGCGGGAGACGGAAGGGATGAGGACGAGCGGGAGGGAACGCAGTAGAAAGGAATAAGTCGTCGTCCTCATCCTTCCCCTCCTGCTCCTACTCCTGCTCCTGCTCCTGCTCCTCCTCCTCCTGCTCCTCCTCCTCCTCCTCCTGGTCCTCCTCGTCGTCCTCCTCTTCCTCCTCCTCCTCCGGCTCCTGTGCCTGCTCCTCATGCTCCTCCTCCTCCTCCTCCTCCTGCCTCCGTCCCCGCCTTCCCCCTGCCTGCGTTTATTGAAACCTGCAGCGCCTCGGGCGCAAGATCCCGCTGCTCTTGCCGCAGGATGTCCAAGAAAGCCTTCAAAGATGCACCTGCGGCCGCCAGCAGGCGACCGCGCTCGCCCAACTTCGCGGGAAACTCATTCGCCAGGCCCGTGCAAAAATCTATGAGGTCGCGGCCCTCGCCGCCCTTGAGCTTGAGGGTCGGGTTGCGAAATCTGCCCAACATGCCCACCGTCAGTTTCTTTATGGTTGTTAGCGGCCTATGTGGGTCAGCTGTTCGTTTCTGCTTGTAGTAATCCTTCAACCTCTTGCGGATCACCTTCAACCCAGTGTGCACGCGAGAATGGAGATTCTCAGCCCTGCTATCAAAAACGTCCCTCAACAATGCACTGACGATCACCAACCCGTTGAACTTTTGGACCACACCGAGATCGATGGTGTGGAGAACGCAATCTACGAATGCCTCGATCCTGAAATAGTCGATTCCATGCTGATGGAGTCCGTCAATGTTAAACATTGGGCTGACGCCGTTGAGGGCCGAGCCCTTCTTGGTTCTGAAAAAGAACACGTCGCACGGCGTCGCAATGCTGTCGAGATCATTGATGGAAAAGATCGGCCCACCCATCACCAGTTTATCCCGAGCTTTCAGCCCAAAAGGTCTTCCCTTGTTGCTGAATACCACCCTCCCCCACCCTGCCTTCTTTTCGCCGTGCTTGTACACGAGGGCCTGACACAATCTGTCCCGCGCAGCTGGCGAATCAAGATGGACTCGGGTCAAGTGGTCCCAAAGTTCAGCAATGTAAGACTCGTGGGTCCTGGGTGCGCGGTGTTACACTATGCCGACCCCCTTTCCGGTGTGTCCCCGCCACTTCGATTTCGACGCCCCCTCCCCGACCCACATTCACCCCGCACCACTGGTCCTATTGGGGAATGGCAGCGCAAGGGCCGAGCATTGTGCATAGGAATCATGGTATTCCGAGGGTCGGCACGAGCAACACATGCACCCCCCGCCGTGGTGCTTAAAACCAGCGGATGCACATCTCTCTGGCAGGTCGCCCCTGTACTCTACCATGGCGCCGATGTGCGCCATCCTGTGGCCCGCGATCTCGCAGCGAAACTTGTCCGCGGCGTGAAAAGGCGCCCCGTCGTGCCTTCCAACCCCCACCCTCCCCCTCCCTCCCCCCATCCACCTCCCCCCTCTCGCCGCCCCTGAGCCGAGGGAGGCGACGCCCGGACAGGCCGAGGGCGGGGGCGGGGGATGGAAGCCTGGAAGATGAGGAAGGAGGAGGAGGAGAAGGGGGAAGGAGAGGATGAGGAGGAGGAGGGCGAGGAGGATAAGGGGGGGCGACGAGGAGGCAGGGAGAATCAGAGAGAGAGAAGACGGAGGAGGAGGCATGGAGGATAAGGATGCGCGACGAGACAAGATGGAGAAGGAAGGAGGAGGAGGCAGGGGGAGAAGGAATGAGAAAGTGCGGGAGCGATGGGGTGAGAAATCTCAGGGAAGGAATAATGGGGGTGGCCCTATCCCCAGCCTGCACGGCGGCACCTCCCCCTTTTGGAGCCAGTTGATGGACCAATTCGTGATGGCCTGCAACACGTCAAGCGTGCAGCGCCCATTGCACCCACATGTGCAGAGGGTGCTGCTCAAAACAACCCATAAGGTGTAGCGCCTCCTCTGGAAAGTGGGGCCGAAGCTGCACCTCGGCGCAGGTGGAGGAGGAGGTGGGAGAGGGAGGAAGGGGATGAGGATGGGGTCGGAGGAGGGAGGAGGTGGATGGGGGAAGAGGGGCGGTGCAGGAGGAGAAGGAATATGGAGTAGGGGGAGAAACGACCGGACGCGCTAACATACCTGATGAGAGCATGCAACCCCCACTCGGCTTAAATAACCTGGGCGCCTCACGATGCTATCGGTCTTGCCGACCGCGAGTTTGTCTGTGTAGATGCCTACGGGTAAAACTCGGCCTGCGCCGAAACGCCGAACTATGGGATGCCCGAGATATTGCCGAGTCATGTAATTATGAGGATCCACTGCGCCAAGGTTCAAGTCCGATGGGCTGTCGATGGCAGCATTGTATATTATCTCGTGTGGTAGGCGCATCGGGAACGTCGTCAGCTCATTCTTGTTCGCATTCGCATCGAAGAGGGGGACCGAGACTCGATAGAGATACTCATCCAAAGATGCCACTCCCAGGGCCCTCTGTATATTCCTAGACTCATTGCGTCCTGATTTGCCAGCGCCCACCGTGAGCGTCTCCAAACCTCGGCCCTCAGATTCCTTGGCGAGGTGCGCCAACGTCACTAGGTCCTTGGAGTTCCACTGGCCCCCCGCCCACTTGCCCGCGCAGAATCTAAATCCGCCCGCCCCTCACTGCGAGGGCCGAGGGCCTCCCACGACGGGGAAGATGATGGGGCGGGAGGTGGGGAGGCCAGGGGGCATGGAATCGAATAGGAGGGCGTGTGAGGGTGGGAGGTGTGAGGGAGGATGGGGGCGAGGAGAGGGGACAGAAGGCATTCGAAATACTTTAGGATCGAATGGGTGTCGGCCCCCTCAGACGGCTGTCGGCGGAAGCCCCCCGTCTAGTTTGTCCTGTGGGCTGCCTGGTGGGTGGGTGCTCTGCAACCTCGGGGGGAGGGGGCGCCGACGCCGCCCCTGCACCGACCCCGACACGGCCTGTCCTGGGCCCAGGATCGCCGTTCTTGCCCACCTGGTTCGGCCAGGAAAGCTGATGCTGCGCGATCCTGGGCCCAGAACTGGCCTGGCCAAGGTCGGCGTAGCTGCGCCGGTGCGCCCCCCATGGCCTCTTCTTCCGCTCCTCGGCGCGGGCCACCCTCAGCACCGCCCGCGTAGCCGAGGGGACATTCGTCGTCGGCCGCCGCTGCCTCGGCCCTGACCTGGGGCCATCGGCCTCCGCCCCCTCGGCGCCGCCGTCGCGGGGGCGCGCCTCGGCGCCGTCGCCATGGCCGACGCCGTCGGCTGCGGCCGCAGCGTACAGGCGCGCCCGCGAAGCCCTCATCGAACCGCAACTGGTACGAACAGAAAGGAGGGGGATTGGGAGACCCTGACCTCCCAGGCAGCCGCTCCTGGACAACACTCCTGGTCATTCTGATGGCACGGAAGGGCCCGATAAAGTGCCCAGGAGGTCCCCAAGAAAGCGCCCTAGGGCCACCCCGAGAAATCCCCGAGCGTTGCCTGGATAGCCCCCGTATGCATCCAAGACGGCCTCATGTAGGGCCTGGCCCAGGACGGCGGGAACCTGATCTTCCAAGCGACGCCGAAATCTGACAAGAGGGCCCCCAGCGGCCGCCGAGATGGCCCCGAGGTGCTCCCGATGGGGTCCAGAATTTCCCGTCCGATGCGGCCAGTGGGGCTCGATGTAAGCCCTGGCCCACAGCGGGAACCAGACCTTCCCAGCGACGCCGAAAGGCCCCCCGGAGAGCACCCGAATTGCTTCCAGAGGTCGCCTTGACTGCTCAGGAGGCACCCGACGATGTGCCCCAGGAATGCTCCGAGGTGGCCGGAGGAGGGGGGGGTGAGGAGAAGAGAAGAGAAGGGAGAGAAAGAGAGAGAGAGAGAGAGAGGGAGGGAGGGAGGGATAGAGAGAGAGAGAGGGAGGGAGAGGGAGAGGGAGAGGGAGAGAGAGAGAGAGAGAGAGAGGGAGAGGGAGAAAGCGAGACAGGGAGTGAGTGAGAGAGAGAGAGAGAGAGGGAGAAGGGGGATAAGGGTGGAGGGTGGGAGGACGGAGGCGGAATGGGAGGGGAGGGAAGAGCAGGAGCGAAGGAGGAGGGTCGGCGGGCGACCCGTGTCGACGCCCTATCTTGAGATAGGCGTCTCTGGTAGCGGGTCGGAAGCATGCGTGTTTGCACTGAGAAGTCTGGTGTACACAGGTCTTAGTTGAGTCCTTCCCTAGAGCATCTGCGGTGAGGTTGCAGACTCGCGCGGCTCGTGAACAACCACGGTGCCAACGCCACTCGAACATAATCAAAAGCAATTCGAAAGTATGATCTGAATTCCTAGAGCTGGCAAACACATCGAAACTGGCCCGCGCATCGTCATCCCTCCCTCCCAAGTCCCAAATCCGCCTCCCTCCCATCCCGCCCCATGCTGCGACGCATGCTGGGGGTTAGGCTAATTGCTCGCCGCCGCAGGCCGTGCCGCAGGCTTGGCCCTAGCCTTGCCCTTTGCTGCCTTAGGCTCCTTATCGATCGGGGCGTACTTGCTTGCATGCATCCGTTGGATGGGGAGCAAGACGGCCGACGCAGTCTCGAGAGCCTTGTTGATGTCCCCGAGCTGCGCGTTGAGATAGGACGTGAAGTTCATCAGGGACTTCTGCGGGCGCGGGGAGGGCGGAGGAAGCGTGCCGGAGGGGAGAGTCGCCGTCGTCGGCCCGAAGAATGGCATGAGGGGCCCAGTATCATCACTGCCGTCCCCCGCTCCCCCCGCGTCGCTTCCCCCGTGCCACCCCCCTCCTTTGCCCCGTATTCCCCCCACTTCTCCCCTGCCCCCGCGCCGCCGCCCTCCCCCGTCCTACCTCCCTACTTCCCCATTCAGCCCCCGCTCTCTGCCTCCGCGGCGCTCAGGGACCGACGCCGCCGACGTCGTCGCCGCCGCCGCCGCGGTGACGATGGATGTGCTAGGCCGCGGCAGCCCCAGCCGTCGTCGTCGTCGTCGTCGGCGTCGTCGCCGTCGCCGTCGCCGTCGTCGTCGGCTGAATTCGGGCCACCGTTTTTCCTGAAGCCAGCCCGAGAAGCGCACAGCACGCATCATGCAGCGCACTCCTAGAAGACAGCGTGAACAGAACACTCCTAGCAAACAGCATGCACAGGAGCGATGGCGCGCGCCCGCCACGAAAACATGGAAGAGTGTGAGGATTGGGAAGCGGGAGAGTGGAGGAGGGCGAGGATTAGGACGTGGGGGAGGGAGAGGATTAAGCGATGGACAGGCATGAGCTGGAGGAGGCAGAGTGTCTACCCCTGCGACTGCGACGGCACCCACGGCCCCTGGACATCTGGAGGAGGCGTGTTATCGGTCGCTGAGTCTCCCACCGTAATGGCGCCTGGGAACGCGGCGAGCTGCTCCAACCGTTTCGCCTCATCCACGAAGAAGGCGTCTCTCCCTGGGCTCGGCGCCCTGGCGGCGGCCGCACTCGCCTGCGCGCCGACAGAGGTGCTCTCGTCCCCGCTCACGGGCCAGACTGCTGGCTCTTGCCCTTGCCCGCGTTCCGCCGCGGGCTGCGCTGCGCGCTCTTGCTCCTGTTCCGCCACGGGCTGCCGCTCTGGTTGTGCCGCGGGCCGCGCTTGAAGGGCCGCGGGTCTCGGCTCGAAGCGCCCCCGCTTGTACTCCCGCAGCGTCTGCTCTTGAGAGAGGCCGTCGTCACGCTGAGTGGCTGGCGGCGCGCAAATGACCCTGAGCTCGCCCACGACGCGGCGAACAGAGGCGCATGAATGAGGGAGATCAGGGATCTCCACAGTGATGCGAAAATCGGGGATCTCTTCAAATAGATGGGAGGTACCTCGAGCCATGGCGACTACTGAGACGTCCTGGGGGGATAAGGCGCCCACAACACACACACACAGGTATGATCGCAGACCTCCCCCGCAATCAAGCGCCTGATGCTAGCGGGCACA